ATATAAAGAAACAACATGCCTCTCTCCTAATCAGCAATTTATAGATTGTTTTGGACAGGTTTCTATAAGAATTATCTAGAACTTGATTACCAGTAGCCTGGGATCATGTAGATATCAGCAACTGGAATTGGCTGGAAAGTCTGCAGTCCTGTTTGTTGAGCCAACATATTGTTTCATTGACTAAGAGTCTACATTATAATTGTGGCTTTTCAAGAGACAAAAGTTTGCTTACTTTAGAGTGTTTCCAAAATTCCATATATATATATATATATATTTTTTTTTTCCATATATCATATATCTATAATCCCCATATTTGGTAAAAGAAAGTAATTTTATTTTTAATGACAACAATAACCCTGAAAGTGGTCTAGCTCATTTGTTTCTCAAACTCCTCTACAGTTGTCCCTTGGTATCCATGAGGGATTGGTTCTAGGACCCCAGCAGATATCCAAATCTATATGTTTACAAAATGGCATAGTATTTGTGTATAACCATGCACATCCACATCCTCCAGTATGCTTTGAATTCTCTTATAGTATTTCTAATATTTAATGCAATGCCAGTAGTGTATAAATAGTTTTTAGACTTTATTGTTTAGAGAATGATGGCAAGAAATCAAGTTGGTACATGTTCAATACAGTCACATCTTTATTTTCTTTTTTCTTTTGGAAAATGTTCCACCCTCACCTGTTTGAATTCATGGATGGGAAATCCGTGGAAACAGAGAGTTCACTATGTTTATATTATCAGTCCTGTAATGTTATAGTACAGGATGCCTTATGTACAGAATTTTCAAGCATAATAAGATAGTTTAGCAACCATAAAATAAAGGAAATATTTAAGATCTGGAAATAAAGTCTTCAGAAATTATATATAACCAATAGATACCAAAAATATTATAATATTTTTCTTTTCCTTCTAATATAACAAAATTGCTACTTATGACTCTGTAATACAAATGCAGTGTAAATATAATTAGAATTGAAATGGATTTCTGAATTGACTACAGCTGTATCAATGTAAAGACTAAACAAGATGTTAGCAATGAAACATTTGCTTTTTAATTAATGTGTTCATTTTTAAGCATGGTATTAGAAAACTTAAGCTATGTCTATTTTACATTTTGTCCATTATTACCTTTCCCAGGGGTATTGGAGAAGATATTCCACTAGAAAAAGATTTCTGAAATTGAAGTATTATTCAGTCATCCTGCAATCTAGAATAAGAATGATAATTGCTGTTACATCTTATAAACGATATCTTTGGGCCACAATTACAATTCAAAGGCATTGGCGTGCTAGTTTAAGAAGAAAACAAGATCAACAAAGATATAAAAGGTTAAAATCATCATGCCTTATAATCCAATCTGTGTTCAGAAGATGGAAGCAACATAAAATGCAATTACAAATAAAAGCTGCAGTAATATTGCAAAGAGCTTTTAGAGAATGGCATTCCAGGAGAAAAGCTAAAGAAAAGTCTGCTATTGTCATACAATCATGGTATAGAAGGCACAGAGAATTACAGAAATATATTTATATTAGATCTTGTATTGTTATTATTCAGAGAAGATTTCGGTGCTTTCAAGCCCAAAAGTTATATAAAAGAAAGAAAGAGTCTGTGCTGACTATCCAGATGTACTACAAAGCATATCTTAAAGGAAAGATTGAGCACACCAACTACTTACAGAAACGAGCTGCAGCCATTCAACTACAGGCAGCTTTCAGGAGAATGAAGGCTCGGAATTTATACAAACAAATTAGAGCTGCTTATGTTTTGCAATCATATTGGAGAATGCGACAGGACAAATTTAGATTTTTAAAACTTAAGAAGATTGTTATCAGATTACAGGCACACATAAGAAAACATCAGCAATTACGGAAATATAAGAGGATGAAGAAAGCAGCCATTATAATTCAGACTCATTTCCGAGCTTACATTTCAGCCAGGAAAGTTCTAGCAACTTATCAGAGAACACGTTCTGCTGTCATTGTTCTACAGTCTGCATATAGAGGGATGCAAGCCAGGAAAACATTTATTCATATCCTAACATCTATTATAAAGATTCAGTCATATTATCGTGCTTATATTTCCAGAAAGAAATTTGTGAGTCTAAAAAATGCTACAATAAAGTTGCAGTCAGTTGTCAAGATGAAACAAGCACGTAAACAATATTTACTTTTAAGAGAAGCTGTACTATTAATCCAGCAATGGTACCGTACACAAAAAATGGCTGCACGAAAGAGAGAAGAATATGTGCAGATACGTGAATCTTGTATCAAATTGCAAGCTTTTGTTAGAGGATACCTGGTCAGAAAGCAGATGAGATTGCAAAGAAAAGCTGCTGTTTCGCTGCAGTCTTATTTCAGAATGAGAAGGATGCGGCAGCACTACCTGAAAACTTATAAAGCAGTTGTTGTCATTCAGAATTACTATCGTGCATACAAAGTACAAGTCAATCAGAGGAAGAACTTCTTGCAAGTCAAAAGAGCAGCTACTTGTTTGCAGGCAGTCTACAGAGGTTATAAAGTTCGCCGACTATTGAAACAACAATCTCTAGGGGCTCTTAAAATTCAAACTGCTTTTAGAGGCTACAGTAAAAGAGTAAAATATCAATCTGTTCTTTGGTCTGTAATGAAAATTCAGAGATGGTACAGGGCACACAAATCTGCTTATGATATAAGAACACATTTTTTAAAGAAAAAAGCAGCTGTGATTTCTCTTCAGTCTGCTTATCGAGGCTGGAAAGTCCGGCAGCAGATCAGAAGGGAACATCAAGCTGCAATCAAGATTCAGTCTACTTTTAGAATGAACAAGGCCCAGAAACAATTCAGATTGTTAAAATCAGCAGCATTAATCATCCAGCAACATCTAAGAGCATGGACTATAGGAAAGAAACAACGTATGGAGTATGTTGAACTCCGTCATGCGGTACTGGTGCTTCAGTCTGCATGGAAAGGAAGAACCCTGAGAAGACAAATTCAAAGGAAGCACAAATGTGCGGCCATCATACAGTCATACTATAGAATGCATGTGCAACAAAAGAGGTGGAGACTCATGAGAAAAGCTGCTCTTTTGATTCAAATGTATTATAGAGCTTACAGAATTGGGAGAGAACAACATCGTTTGTATTTGAAAACAAAAATGGCTGTACTAGTTTTACAGTCAGCTTACCGTGGTATGAAAGTGAGAAAAAGAATAAAGAAATTCAGCAAAGCAGCAATCACTATACAATCTAAATATAGAGCTTACAGAGCCCAAAAGAAATATGCAATCTACAGAGCTTCAGCTATTATAATTCAGAGGTGGTATCGAGATATCAAAATTACAAACCATCAACAAAAGGAGTATCTTAATTTAAAGAAGACAGCAATTAAAATCCAAGCTGTTTATAGAGGTATTAGAGTAAGAAGACATATTCAACACATGCACTTTGCAGCCACTTTAATTAAAGCCATGTTTAAAATGTATCAGTCAAGAGTAAGATACCATGCAATGAGAAGAGCAGCTGTTGCAATTCAAGTAAGATACAGAGCATATTGTCAAGGTAAAATTCAGCGTGAAAAGTACCTGGCAACTTTAAAGGCTGTTAATACTCTTCAGGCAAGTTTTAGAGGAGCAAGAGTTAGACAAACTCTAAGAAAGATGCAGGTTGCAGCAACACTTATTCAGTCATGCTATAGAAGATACAGGCAGCAAATGTATTTTAATAAGTTAAAGAAGGCAACAAAAATAGTACAGCAAAGATACCGAGCAGTGAAGGCAAGAAACAAACAATTTCAGAGGTATAACCAATTGAGGCATTCTGTAGTACACCTTCAGGCTACTTTTAGGGGCATGAAAACTAGGAGACTTTTAAAAGTTATGCATTTAGCTGCCACCCTTATTCAGAGGAGATTTAGAACTGTGATGATGAGAAGAAAATTCCTTTCTCTCAGGAAAACTGTTATTTGGATTCAGAGAACATATCGTGCAAAACTTTGTGGAAAGAAGCATCACTTACAATTCCTTCAGTTACGAAAGGCAGTTATTAAGATCCAGTCATCATACAGAGGGTGGGTGGTAAGGAGACAAATGCAAGAAATGCAGAGGGCTGCTGTTCTCATTCAGGCGACTTTCAGAATGCACAGAACATTTGTTTCATTTCAGACTAAGAAACGTGCCTCAATTATAATTCAACAACATTATAGAACATACAGAGCTGCAAAATTGCAAAGAGAAAATTTTATCAGACAATGGGATTCTGCAGTGGTCATTCAAGCTGCATATAAAGGAATGAAAACAAGACAGCTTTTAAGGGAAAAACACAGAGCTGCTATTAGAATACAAAGCACATACAAAATGTATAAGCAATATTGTTTCTACCAAAAGCTCCGGTGGGCTACAAAAGTGTTACAAGACAGATATCGAGCAAATAAAAAGAAACAAAAAGCTCTTCAACCCAATATGTGTAAAGAAGAAACAAATAGCATTCAAGCAAGTTTTCAGGACATCAACATAAGGAAACAAACTCAGAAACAGCATGAAGCTGCCATTATTATTCAGAAGCATTTTAAAGCTTTTGTCACAAGGAGACATTATCTCCACTTTAGAGCAACAGTAATTTCTGTTCAAAGAAGATACAGAGCATTAACTGCAACAAGAACCCAAACAGTTATTTCTGTACAGTCTTCTTACAGAGGCTTTAAGGTAAGAAGTAATATCCAATGTTTGCACCTGGCTGCCGCACTAATTTGGTCATTCTACCTAATGCACAGAGCCAAAGCTGTTTATTGAACAAAGAAAACTGATTTTTGTTACACAGATTTTGTAGGTCATATGTCAGAGTTAAAAAGGAAAGAAAAAAGTGTTTTAGCAGATTCAGAAATCTGACCTCTTCAGGCTGCCTTTAATGGCATGACAGAAATTTAAAATATATATGAGGAAAGGATGGCAGTCTTGCTAACCAATCTGCATTCAACTGTTACGGAAGTAAAACCCAATATGAAGCTGTTCAAAGTGGGGATGTTATGATTTACAGGTGGTTTAACACTTCTCTGTTTGTTTTTCACAGGAAGGAGAGTATCATTCTCAAAGTGGGACTATAGTAGTGATTCAAAGAGATCTTTGTGATACAGTCACAAGAAAACTGGAAATGCAGAAATGTGCTGCCCTCCAAATTCAGTCCTTCCTTCTGATGGCTGTGTTTCGGAGAAGATTTGTTCAGCAGAAAAGAGCTGCTGTCACTTTACAGCGTTATATCAGGACATGGCAAACCAGAAAGCAGTTTTTACTGTATAGAAAAGCAGCGGTCATTTTACAAAATCACTACAGAGCCCGTCTATCTGCAAAACACCAAAGACAAGTCTATTTGCAAATCAGGAGGAGTGTTATTATAATTCAAGCTAGAATCAAAGGATTTATACAGAAACAGAAGTTTTATAAAATTAAAAGTAGCACCATAAAAATTCAGGTATTTACTTATTTTAAGTATAAAGCTTCAATATTTTGGCCTGTGTTTGTGAGATTTTTTAAAATGAGTTTAAGCAGGCCATAAAGAATAATAGTACTTTAAGTGACCATTTTATCATCTTCCAAAGTAGAACATTATTTTGAGAGTGAGAAAAGACACCAATGATGATTCAGGCAAGACAGCACAGAACTGGAGTTGTTTTGACCCTGGTCACCTTGCACTTCATGCATTTCATAGGTGTTAATTATAGCACTCCTGGAAGAATTTTGAAAAGATGGGATCTTCATATTTGACAGTTTTTAAGAGTAAATTTTAAATTAAAGTGAACTGTTATTTAGCATAATTGGATGAAACAGGATAATTATATTCCTCTAATAATATATTAGCTAGAGCTGCTTATTATATAGATGTACTTTATTCAGTTTAGCACTTTTGGCTTCTAAAGCATTTTGTTATTTTGTTTAATAAATTCTCCAATGTGCGAGGAAAATAGAGTTTTATCTCTTAAAATATTAGAGAACTGAGAAAAAATTAACCAAAAAATTTCAGTGTTGTATTGGAAGGAGGCAGATCCAGGAATTGAATCTGAGCACTTCAGCTATTTTTGTTCTATGTGCAATAAATTGGGCTTTGAACCTAAGTGTGATATGTTGTTATCTTGATAGTTGCTGTTAAGCTTAGAAATAATATTCTCTCTCAAAATCCACAACTAATAAGGTGCTAAATATTGTACTGGGTTTTAGGAATAGACCGTAAGATATACTTAGTTGCTCTCCTCAAACAACTTAATTGAGCAAGGGAAATGATAATATTAAGTAAGAAGTGTATGTTAGTGGGAACAAAAGGAATCTAAGCTAATCTTGTGGTAAGAGAAAGCTTTCTAGAGTGAGTGACATATATATTCAAATATTTGGCTAAAGGATGAATTTGGAAAGAGCCAAGTAAAATGTATGGAGAGACTATTTCAGCTATAGGAGATAACACAAAAAATTGAAAAACTTCAGAGAGGAGTACAAAGTAAGATAGGACAAGACTGGCCAGGAGCAAAATTGTGAATATCTTTGTAAGATGCAGAAAAAAATTTATAAAGGCATTTAAGCAGGAGAAGGCTAGAATTGTTTTTATTTTTACAAAGTTACTCTGACAGGAATGTGAAAGGTGAACTGTAAAGGGAACAAAACTAGAATAGGGAGACTATTTGGGAGGCCATTGATCAGGTGAAAGTCAACAGTTTAATATAGGTTAGTGAAAATGAAGTTTGGAGAATTAATTTGGTTAGGAAGAGAATTGACATCATGTTGAGCATGAACAAGGATCCAAGACATGTTTATGGCTTAGGTAACTCAGCAGAAGATACCATTAAGTGACACCAGGAACAAAGGTAAGAGCAGGATTCCTTTACAGATTACACACAAAAACCAGAATGTATGTGGAGTGGTAAGGATTACTCCCCAGGAAGTGGAGAGTAGGTCAGTGTGTTCATTTTCTTTCTGTTCTTCCAAATGCATTGATGCACATATATCTAGATTTCCACATGTAATGCACATCTTACAATTTAAAATATTGGCTAGGATTACGTTAGGCTTTTCTGACAGCCAGCAACAGGGTATGTGTGATAAAGTACATGGCAGGCATTCATTATATCGGCACCACTGTCCTCAGAGGACTCACTATATGCCAGACTCTAATGGGAGTTAGTATGTGACTTTATTTCTACAATTGATTTTTGTTTATCTGCATTAACCTCAGATTGACTGTCTTAATACTAATTCTTCCAATTTACAAAAAATGACGATCATTGCATACCTGTTATATTTTTTGCATTTGATAGGCTATATGGAGAAGATATAAAGCTAAGAAATATTTATGTAAAGTGAGAGCTGCCTGCAAGATTCAAGCCTGGTATAGGTGTTGGAGAGCACGCAATGAATATTTAGCTGTATTAAAAGCTGTTGAAATTATTCAAGGTTGCTTCTATGCCAAACGGGAGAGAACATGGTAATGTATTGTAGCCCTGTGGAAGAGCATAACGGTATATCTGTGGTTGGCAAGTCCTCATAAGTATTTGCTATGCTCAATTTATATGGTTAGTTTTGTTGGTATTTTCTCCATTAATGAACCATAATATATCTCTTGGGATATCTTGCTTTTTAAATGTAGAGCATAGCCTTGATGATATAATTTAGTAAGAAATATTTACATACACTTAAAGCTTTTGTCCTTTTTGTTGTTGTTGATATAGCTATTGGCTAAATTTGTTTTCATATTTCTTTTTCTTTTTCTTTCTTTCTTTACTTTGTATTACTCTTCATACTCTTTGTCCTTAATGATGAAGACCCTAATTACCAACTTTCTATGCAAATTCTATTTCCTCACTTACCCGAGTCATTTAATGTATGTTTTATGTACATTTTTAGAGGCTGCTATTAAATGGTCTTTTTTTTTTTCACACTATAAGAATTTTTCTTCACATCCCAGAATTTGTGATTGCTGTCCAGTTTAGGAGAGCAGACCAGAGTTAGAGGACTTAATATATAGACACAGTTGCCACTATCAATATTAAGGACTGGTATCTTATTTTCTTGTACCAAAATGGTGAATTTTCTCAATGATATTCGGTCTTATTTTCTAAGAAATCTGACAATCAAACAAACTCATCTTTTTACCTTTTCTATAATACTGAGAAGAAATTAAAGAGCTCATCTTTCTTCTCAAATAAGTGTCCTTTTCTTATCTGATGCTACTTGTAACCTTCCAACCTCTCTTTTTGACCACCTCCTGTCTGCTCAGAGACTCACTCAGACTTTATTCTTTACTATTATTTGTCATGACTCACTTTATGGAGGTTTTTGTCTGGACCCAAATGGTCATACTTTCTTTTGATCTTCTTCAAAATTATTTGTCACACCAGAATTATGGAACTTCTTGTTTCCTGCTCACTGGGATATTGCCAATTGCAAAACTTCCTTTTTATTGTGTCTTAAGTGTATGCATAAAATTGTGATTGCTACAACTTAAGTATGAATTCCTGCTTCCTTTTGTTTTGCCTTTGTTGTATTTTTTTCTCCTCAGTATTGGAAGTAAGAGAACAATAAATATTTGTTGAATATATTAAATTTGAAATTGCTTTTCAATAATAACTATTTTTTAGGTTTTTGAAGATGAGAGCATCAACAATTATCATTCAGAGAAAATGGAGAGCTATACTTTCTGTAAGAATGGCTCATGA